CTCTCCCTGGGAAAAGCAGTGTCATCTAAGGTATTGGGGGGACACCGGCTGGGCGCAGTGGGGTGCTGGGTGACGGGTCCCCTCCCCCGATCAGCCTAGGCCCCTGTGAAGTGACAGGAGCGGGACTCCAGTGGCTTATCGGGCTTCCACCATTCCTGGGCTCTGTATGTAGCCATTCCTTAAGTATCTTCGAATACCTTAGATGACACTGCTTTTCCCAGGGAGAGGGAGAGAGCCCTTTACAAGACAGCTCCACTTTTGACAGGGATGGTGAAGTTATTAATGATTTCTAGTGTCTCATTTGATATGACCCCGTAAGTACCCGCAAGTTCGGTAAATCGCTTAAGAGTAGGGTTTGGACTTACCCCACTTTAATTCTCCTTATTCATTGTCTAACTCTCTAGGCTTCGAGGTAATACAGTCCACACAACACTCCCAAAGCGCCAAGAGTTGTGTCTAGTATTTTATAGGACCCTCATTTATTCCTCCGAACAGTCCCATGTACAGGTACAGGATTATTTGACCAGGTTAACCCATTTGCAGAGACTCTGACAAATGAATGAATGAGTGAATGAATGAATGGGTGGATGAAAATACCTTGCTCAAGGTCGTACAGAAAGTGGGAGAGTCAGAAGAGTAGCAGGGTTTTATCTCCAAAAGGTCTTTATTTAACTGCTGCTGTTTGCCTTGCTGATGGGGAGATATTTTACCGTGGTCTCAAATATTTCCAGGTTAAGAGAAATAAGAGGAAACTTAATAAACAGGGCCTCTGTTTGACTTTACTGTTTTCTTCATTCTTCTTCCATTGTTGAAGCCTTTTGTTTCTGTGCTTTTCGCTTTATCTTTTCGTTGCGTTGGCTTAGGACAGGAAAAGAGAGTGAAAGAAAAGTTCATTTTAATTGTAGAGAGTGCAACGTAAAAGATTTGTTATTCTAATTTTTTTGGGGTGTACAGTTTAGTAGTGTTCAGTTTTTCCACCTGGTGCGCCTTGGAAATCTGCGCTTTATCTTACACCCTCGAAACCGTACCAGTTAAATAGCCCCCTTTACTCTCTATCTCTCGGCAGCCTTCATTCCGAAGTCACTTTTTATAGATTAGACTAATAAGGTACCTGATCTAAGAGAAATCATACAGAATACTCTGTGTGCCTGCCTTATTTCACTTAATAACTTCATATTTCATCTGTATTGCAACATTTGACAGATTTCTTTCTTTTTCCTTTTTCTTTTTTCTTCTTTTTCTTTCTTTCTTTTTTTTTTTGATTTTTGAGATAGGATTTCTCTATCACAAGATCTTCTCACAGAGATCACCCTGCCTCTGCCTCCCAGTTGCTGGGATTAAAGACGTATGCCACCACCACCAGGCCAGATTTCCTTTAAAAAAAAAAAAACAACACTAAAGAACATTTTATTATTTATATACACACGTGCATTGGTGTGAGTGTGCACATGCACATTCAAACATCACATTTCCTTTTTGGGAGGAATACTTATTGTGTGTGTGGGTGGAGTGTGTATGTATGCGTGTGCCATGGCGTATGCGTGAGATCAGGTGACACCTTGTAGAGGAAAGAGTCTCTCCACACGTGGGCACGGAGCACTGTTCTGAGCCCTCTCATTGGCCACCACAGGTTATCCGTTCACCCGTCAGTGAGCCTTGGGTTCCTTCCCATCCTGTACTGTGAGTGATGCTCCTACCACCGTGAGTGTCTACAGACCTCCTTTCAGTTCTGCGTATATACCCAGAAGTGGGGTTATTGGGTCACGGAGTAATTCTAATTTTGGGTTTTGAGGAACCACCACATTGTTTTCCAGAGCAGTTGCACCATTTTGTGCGACATACACGGGGGTTCCAGTTCCCTAGTGTCTGATACAACACAACACTCCCAGTTTTTTGTTTGTTTGTTTTGATAGTGACTATTCTAGTGACTATCGGGTGATCGCTCACTGCAGTTTTGATTGCATTTTCCCTGATGATTAATGATGTTGAACAATTTTCATGTGTTTGGCCATTTGTTTATTCTTTGGAGATTTATATATTCTCTTAAGTTGCTTGCCCAGTTAAAAAAATCAGACTGTTTCCATTGATATTGCTGTAGGACTCTTAATATATTTGGGGCATTAACTCCTTGACATCTAGCTTGCAGCTCTTCTCTTTCCTTCCCTAGGCCATCTTCCCTCCCTGTGAGGTGTGCCACTGGGAGCTTGAGCTTTGTGTAGTCAGTCTCATTTGTCAGTCTTCGCTATGCTGTCTGGGCTTCTGGTGCCATACCCGAGAACTCATTGACAGAAATTATTCTCGCATCCCTTCTACTGTGTAGATAGATTGCAGCCAGCTGTCATCTGCTGCTGGAGGGACAGTGCTAACGTTAAAGAAGTAGAAGCTCTAGGCCAGGTCACCTGCTTTGCAGGCCTGGTCTTCACCACCCAGCTCCCGTTCTCAAGGTAGACACAGCCTCTTGTGCTTGACTTTTCGTGCATGCAGCAGGGGCAGTGTACAGATCCCATGGTACTCTGTGGACAGAAACGGGCTGCGAAAAAGCATCGAATACATTTTGTCTATCCTCTCTGTTTCACAAGTGAAACCATCTCAGCATCCTTAAAGCTAGCCCAGGTTTACAGTCGGTCATGTTCTATCATGTAAGCAGCTAGGATGAATCTTCTAACAGACACTGTAAAAGTACAGCGTCGTTGTTGCTCTGAAAGCCATGGGTACAGGAACAACGGAGAAATGGAGGAGAGAAAGTCAGGTAGAAAGATATTAACCAGGATGCTGGGTAATTATCAAATAAAGTGGTAGGGTATAATCGTGGAGTAGTCTAAAAACAGTTCAAATGCAGACTTTGTCTGCCATCTCTAGAACCAGGGATAAGATATTTAGCTATTCTAAGCTTTAATTATATGCAAAATTAAGATGTCATCACAGAGTTGATGTGACCCAAAATAAAACAGTGTGACTCTGTGAAAAACTGTCTTTTAGAGTATTCCTAGGAGATGTTTATGGGAGTTAAATAAGACCTCAAATGAGAGAAACATCTGGAATGTTCTTGAAGCACCCTGATAAAGGTTCTATATGGGGGAAAGTGGAGTTTCTGAGTGACAACTACCAAGCAACTCAGGAAGTTGACTGGATTGTCTTTGTATCTACTTGTACTATGGCCATTATTCTTTTGATGAGTGGGGAGCCACAAGATTAAATTCTAGTTGTGTTCCAGGATTTTTGTCCTCTTAGGATTTCCTATAGAGTAAGAAGGTAATCTGATAAAACACGTTAATAAACTGGCAAGTGCTTTCCTTGATGAAAAGTTTGATATTGAGATGGATGAAGGACACTATCACTTTCCATGTTTCACCTGAGACCGTTCTTTTCCGTGAGGTCATCGACTTGCAGAGACTTCAGATGCTCACCTCGGAGTTACCTTTGTCTGCTTGCAGAGTTGATGTGGGTTAGCGTTGGGTAGAGGGTACAGCGCCTCCACTCTGAGGCTTTGTTCAATTGCTTGTGTCGTTTTAATCTATTTAGTGTTTTGCCTGAATGGTCCCACAGAGATAAGAAGAGGTCATCAGATCCCCTAGGATTGGATTTAAGGATGGTTCGTGAGCCATTATGTGGGTGCTGGAACCAAACCCAGGTCTTTTAGCAAAGCAACAAGTGCAATGAGCCACTGAGTCATCCTTCCGGCCCCACACTTAGATTTTCATAGTAACTGGAGGATAGTTTGAAGTGTAGATTTTTTCTTTATTTATTCTCCTTTTTTTCCTTCCTTTTTTTCCCCCTTGGTTTTTTGAGACAGTAGGATTGCTCTAACTCCCAAGTACTGGGATTAAATGTGCACTGGCACTGCCCGACTCTTTTTTCTCTTTTTAATGAGATAGGTCTCACTGTGTATCTTTGGCTGGCCTAGTACTCACTATGTAGACCTTGCCCTCAGAGATACACCCGCTGCTGCCTCCCAAGTGCTAAGATGAAGGCGTGTGTGCGCAACCATCATACTAGCAAACCTGGCTAGTATAGGTTTTTGTTTCTTTGTTTGAGAAGAACATTTTTATTCTTTTCAAAAACGTGGTAGCAATTTGACTCAGATGATGCCATACAACCACAGAGAAGCCCATTCAGCATTTGCTGTCATGAGTGAACAGATAGGTTTACGTGCGTGGATAGTCTGTACATGCTACCTGCTTAATAACAGTTCAGTAATCCTTTCAGTTTATTTTAGCCATAGGAGAGGTGATGCATGTTCCTCTGCTTTTTTTTTTTTTGTCTTGTTACTTTGTATTTAATACAGAACTGAAAAGCGTTCCTCCTTTTCTCTCACCTAAACTGGTAAGGTTTTTAAACACCATGTGTATCCTTATCATTATACATCCTATTCCCTTTAAGATCATGCCATTATAATTGACTTAATTAAAATTCAGTGATGAGAACATTTAAAACAATTATTTCTGTATCATCCAGTTAAGTGCTAGGAAATGACTTCCGAATTTCCACTGGTAGTGAAACTGTTTTCAGATGTTAGCGCTGAGGAAAGAGTTGAGATTGGGTTTAAACTTATGCCTTAGATAGAAATCTCCACTTCCTGAGCTGCAGTTTTCTCTTCTAAACAACGAGAGTTTATCTATTCAACAGATGTTTATCGGCCACACACTTCTCTGTGCCAGGCAGAGTTTTGTTTTATTTTTATTTTACACGTTTAGATTTTTTCCCGTTTGTATGTCTGTGCACCATGTGTGTGCTTGTTGCTCTTGGAGGTAGGAGGAGGGCATTGAATCCCCTTGAACTGCAGTTACAGACACTTGCCAGCTGAGCCATCTCCCTAGCCCCAGACAGTGTTTTAGGTACTAGGGAGTAAGTCGATAATGTGACAAAAATCTTCTTCCATGGCATTTCCGTTCTAGAGGAGGACGAGTGTCTGGTGGAAATGAAAGTGATGGTGTGATTTCTATAGTTCCGTGTTCCTTTTTCTTTTTCTTGAGATAGGATCTAACCTCCAACTCTATAGGTAGGTAAGGATAACCTTTAACTTCTGATCCTCCAGCCTTTGCTTTGCCACTGCTGGGATTATATGGGCAACGCCACAGCTGGTTTGTGTGGTGCCGGGGCCAATTTAGAGCTTCATGCTTGCTAGGCTAGCACTCTCCAAGCAAGCTATGTTTCCAGCCCACCTTCCCTTTGAGAGCCTCATTTGTCTTTATAAAATTATTTGCTTACTTAGTTTTGTGAGTTGCCCATGTGTCACAGTGCATGTGTATGCGTGTGTAGGGCTGAAGAGGTCGTCTGGAGTGACAGATGGCCGTGAGCTGCCCTTTAGGTCCTAGGACTCAAACTCAGGTTTCTGGGAGAGCAGCCAGTGCTCCTAACTGTTTGCCATCTTTCCAGTCCCAAATAAAACTTTTATAGTTACATGTGGTTACATGTAATGTGTTCTATGTTGATGCACCCAAAATTAAATTAACTGTAAATTTCTCTTTAAGGAATGTAGATCTCTACAAATGAGAATTGACAAAACAAGCTGCATTTCCCCCGTGAAAATGATGATTAGGACATACATTTATTGCCGTAAAAGGGTGTCTTCAGCATGCCAACAACAGAATAAAGTTTATTATTTACTATTTAGTTAGTTACTTACTTGAGATAGGGTTTCAGTATATAGCCTTGGCTATCCTTGGAACTCACTACTGATCTTGAACTCAGAGATCTTCCTGTCTCTGCCTCTGGAGTGCTGGAATTAAAGGCATGCACCACCAACACCTTGGCCTGGCTAACCTTATGACTTGTAATCTTGGTTTCTTTTACTGGAAAGTGGTGTTTCAGCATCACAGTACAGGTACTAGGGACACTGAGACTACTAGGTTGTTCAT